TAGATATAATATTCTTCCCACCCGCAGTTCTGGTGCCTACACACAACACCGCCTTCTGGAATAATTAACTCCGTGGGGCAAGGGACTGGGTGGGGAGGTAGAAGGGACAGGGAGGAGGCTGGGAAATGGGAAAAAGGATCGTCACTGTTACTGATTTTCCATTTATTTTAGGGAAAAAAAAAATTCCTTCCCTGTGTTTTTTTGTATCTGAGAAGACTGGCCAGTTGAGGACCTAGGAGGTTGGGAAGTCTTCTCTGGGAGTGAGAGAGCAGGAGGCAAAGCCCTCGAGAAAAACTCAAGTTTTCAAAATTGCGTATCAGCTCTGCCCTGAGGGCACTGACACAGTGAGAGAGGAAATGACCTATGGCTACTGCCTTTAAACCGTACCCCCCCCACCCCCCCCAACCTCACCAACAGCGGCCATGAATGAATGATGTCAGCCACTGAACCATCCACTTGAATGCACGGCTTCCTTCTTAACTCCAATTTTTCTTTAGCCATCTCTGTTTTTGTGCCTCTCTGCTTTCTGTTAAGGTCAAAACAACACTAATGGTTTTTAACATGTTAAATGGTTGTTTTCCCCCACCTTGTTTTACTGTAAAACACAGAAAATGAGAAATAAGAAACCCCCCATGAGCTTTAGAAATAGTGCATTTGAAAATTTCAACATAAAGATTTAGTTAAAGTCAGACTTAATTCGGTTAAATTTAATGTGCCAAGTTTTAAATGAAAATTTGGTTCTCTGCATTTTAAGATGCATGTTTACTATATTCTATTTAATTCAGACATATCACAATGTGCATGATAGATAAAATTAAAGGCTTATTTATATAAATTTTATAGAGTACAGCACAAACATTGTTGTCAAAGGAGTTGTAAAATCATCTAATTAACCCACTCATTTTTCAAATAAGGAATTAAGTGAAGAATCTTATTCAGAAGCAAAAATTTTTTGCAGTTTTTAAAAAAATCATTGAGCTAGGGGCACCTGGGTGGCTCAATCGGTTAAGCGTGTGCCTTCGACTCAGGTCATGATCTCAGGGTCCTGGGATCGAGCCCCACATTGGGCTCCCTGCTCAGTGGAGCCGGCTTCTCCCTCTCCCTCTGCTGCTCCCCCTGCTTGTTCTCTCTTGCTCTCTCTCTCTAATAAATAAATAAAATTAAAAAAAAAATCATTGAGCTGGTATGCATGGGTACAATTATAAATGTTGTTAAATTAAGACAATGTTGTATTTCTGTTTCAGTTGAGAAATAGCTAATGCCCTGAGTCCTCTGGATGCCCACCTATCATAGCCCTCTGTCACCTTCCTTAGGAGCTCTTGGACCCTTCAACATCAAGCAACTAAAGGGTTAATACTCTGCAAGCAAGAGGCCTTTGGGAGCCAGGCTGGCTGGTGCCCAAGAGGGTGCAGGCTGTTGACAGTTTTGAATACTGCCCTTGCATGCATCGATGGCAGCAACATAAATTCCCAACTGTACTGGACATTTGTTGGTTGACCCAGCATCCATTCTCACGCTCTACCCTCACCCCTGGCTGTCATCTATCTGTTCTTTCCCACACAGCTCCTGTGTTTGGTAAAAGCTGAACCCACTCTCAGCCCCATGGAAAAGCCTGGATAAACTTCAGGTCCTCGGTAACTTCCAGCCTCTGGCTACAGGCACCACAGGGTGAGCAGGTGACTGGCCAACCAGGCTATCGGGAATGCTAGGACAATATTGCTCTCTCCCTTCCCAGGCCCTGTTGAAATTTGCAACCATCTTATTAAGAGCAAGGAATCCGGTCTTGGAGTAAAATTAACATTGTTGACAGTAAAGAGATAAGACAGAAAAACAAAGCAACACAAAGCAAAACAAAATGAACCGCGTCCTTACTGGCATAGCTGAGCTGCTAGACCAACCATTCCTGAAGTCCTCCTTAATTTGGACTTTCCAGTCACCTGAACCTAAACATTTCTTTTGTTGTTTAAGCCCTTCTGAATTGGGGTTTTTGTTTTTTTTTTACCTGAAAGCTTTTGGGACCACATATGTTAATAAAGTGGCCCCCCAACAAAATTCTCCAGTACAGCCCTTTAATTATACCACAAATTTATAAAACAAAACAGAATTTCTCAAAATGTGTTCTGAAGAATGGCTAAAATAAAAAATACAAGAAGCAAGTGTTGGTGAAGGTGTGGAGAAAAAAGAACCCTCTTGCACTGTTGGTGGGAATGTAAATTGGTGCAGCCACTGTGGAAAACTGTATAGAGGTTCCTCAAAAAATTAAAAATAGAGCTCTATGGTTTAGCAATTATACTACTAAGTATTTGCCCCAAAAATACAAAAACACTAATTCAAAGGGATAGATTCACCCCTATGTTTAGAGCAACATTATTTGCCACAGCAAACTATGGAAGCAGCCCAAGTGTTCATCAACAGATGAACGGATAAAGAAGATGAGGTATATATATTAAACCATATCTGTTATACTCCTCACTCTCTCTCCATATATATATATATATATATATATATATATATATATATATATGAAATATTACTCAGCCATAAAAAGGATGAAATTTTTCCATTTGCAATGACATGGATGGAGTTAGAGAGTATTATTCTGAACAAAATAAGTCAGTCAGAGAAAGAAAAATACCATATGATCTTACTCATATGTGGAATTTAAGAAACAAAACAAATGAGCAAAGAAAAAAAAGAGAGAAAGTGACAAACCAAAAAACAGACTCTTAACTATAGAGAACAAACTGATGGTTACCAGAGGGGAGGTAGGTGGGGGGATGGGAGAAATAAGGGATGGAGATTAAAGAGTACATTTATCATGATGAAATAAACCAAAATCAAATACAACGATAAAAAAATGTGTTCTGAAGAGCACAACGTCCAAGAGAAGTTGATAGTTAGGTCCTGGAGAGGAACAGCTCAATACACAAAGTCAAGTTGATAGACCTGGATCATCTAACAAAGAAGATTTGTGGTATACTCAAAATACAATTTAATTTTTTTACTCGCATTCAACTCTTTTCAGATTTATTCAGTAGAGCAATGATTCCCTGCCCGTGCCTGAGGGCCTTGGCAGGTCTATCAATTTTCTACTTATTCTTTGGGAAGATCTTTAAATCTCTTTAAATAATATTAATTCAGAAAACAGAACAACTTCTGTTCTTTCCTTCCCCTCACCATTCACCTACTCACCAGCTGCTAGGGGGAAGGTGGGGTAGAGGTAAGCTTACCAGAGTTTGTAGATAAAAATACAGGATGCCTAGTTAATTTGAATTTCAGATGAATAACAAATAATTTTTAATATAAGTATGTCCCAAATGTTGCATAGGATATACTTATAAGAAAAATTGGTCATCGTTCATCTGAAATTCAAATTAACTGAGCATCTTGTCTTTTAACTGGCAGCCCTAGGTGAGCACAGGGAAAGGAGGGGAGGGGAGTTATAGTGCTTACTTTCCCCAGTGAAAGTGAGCATGGCAGATGGTGCCATTTGGAGCATTCTTTGGACATTCTATCCTAGGAGACCTCTCTAGCATCGCCTGTCAAGACTTGAGGGATACTCCTCATTCCCTTCGGATGTCCACCCCATTTAGCCCCTAGTCCACCAGCTGCAGGGCCCCACAAGGGTTCCCACCCTCTTTAATGTCTTATAGGAAGCAGTGAGACATCTTTGCCCCCATGCAGCAGCAAGCTCCTCGACTGACCACCAAAATGCTCATGAGCCAACTTTTGCATCTACATTTCCGAGGAGGGAATCAACTTCAGTCTGCAGTGTCCCTGACATATGGGAACACACATTAATCTCCTTAACTAGGCCCAATGAAGCCACTGGGCTTGGTGTAGGAGGCAGCAACTTTCCCAAGGGTTAAAGGTGGGGGCCCCATAGCACAGCAACCAGTCGTTCCTAAGAAAATCTCACAAAAACCTCTCTGCTCTCTCAAAGGAGCCAAAAATTGTGGACTAGGTCCCCAGACATTATGCTTGTAGAGTCTGCACATGGTGACTTAGCAACTCACTTGGGAATTTAGCATTTATTTTATTTTGATGCCTAGTTGAAATTTCAATTTTACATTCTGTTATATAGGTTTCTTTTCTGGGAAAATTCTCACAACTTTCAATATAGCCTACATTATGAGTCTACACGAAGGGGTGGTAGTTTGCAGTAGTTCCAAATGTGTTTAATTACATAAACTTTTTTTTTCTTTTTTCTTTTTTCAGGAGATTTGAATAAAATTGGTCTTCCATGGCACAGACTTTGGAATGTATTGCCCTAGAATATTTTTTGTTTGGCAATTAAGAGCAAGATTAAGAGGTCTGTGTCCAGATTTGAATTCTGGCTCTGCCACTTAGTGTGTAACTTTAGGCTCTGTGCCTCAGTTTCTTTAATTAGAGAGAATGGTATCTACCACACTGAGTTGATGTGGAAGTAAAATTAGTCAAAACATGGCCAAGCACTTGGAACAGTGCCTGGCACAGAACATGTGCTCAATAAACATCAGCTGCTATTAGTAGTAATAGTGTCGGTGGCAGTCAAAGTAGGAGTAGTGGGGCTGCTTAGGTGATCGTTATGAAATGGCAGTCTTAAATGCTTTGAGACGCTGTGTCAGTTTGCAAATCCACCTGTTTCTACTTTTACAGATCTGAAAAAGCAAATATTTCCATGCATTGGAATATGGCTAAGTGAATCAAAATGCCCCAAGAGTCCTTTAAATAATACTGTTAATTTTTTAATCCTCTCGTGTGTAAAAATACAAAACTTCTTTGAAATGTTGGACCTCATTTTCACAGAGCTAGAAGATTATATAATTAGGAATTACCCTTACTGTTATCATTAGGTAATTTTTAGAGAAAGGAGAGAACTTCATCTCAAAGAAAAAAAAAAACATCCTTAGCCACTTTGGGTAAGAATAATAACTGCAAAACACAGAGTGGTCTAGTTCATAACCAAATTTCTAAAAACGTGCAACCATTCCTGCCATGTGATTTTTCATCGCTTGCAGCTCTGCCTGAAGCCCCCGTGCCCTGACCGAGAGGACCAGCCAAGCACACCGCTGTCCTTGCTTTTCGAGCAGTGTCTCCCTCACATGTGAAACTCAGCAAGGGCAGAAGGAAAACACCAGAAACACCAAGCCCAGCCAGCACACGCCCCAAGACCACTCGCTGGAGAGACACGGTTGTGTCCTAACTTGCGGTAAGCAACACAGGCCAAGCTGGAGACGCCGGTGAGAAGTCGCAATCAGGCCGTCAGGTTCTGAGTAGCACAGAAAGCTTGAGTAGCTATGTAGCTATTTCATTCCCAGTTTTGACAGACTGGACTGTTTTGGGATGAAGTGCCAAATAAAACAAGGATGTGTTGAAGTCCTAACTGCTAGCCCCTTAGAATGTGACCTTATTTGAAGACAGGGATTTCCCAGAGGTAATCAAGTTAAAATGAGGTCTTTAGAGTGGGGTCTCTCCCAATAGGACTGATGTTCTTATCCAATGGGGACATTTGGACACAGGTTGCCACAATTAAAAAGAAAACATTAGTGTTAGAGGCCAGCCAAGTTACACTAAGAATACAGGCATGCCCCAGAAATACTGCCGGTTTGGTTCCAAACCACTGAAATAAGAGCATGGGTCGCAATAGAGTCAAATGTATTTCTGGTTTCCCAGTGCATATACAAGTCATGTTTACATTCTACTGTAGTTTATTAAGTGTGCCACAGCATTATGTCTAAAAAAAAAACAATGTACATACCAGAATTAGAAAATACTTCATTACTAAAAAATGCGAACCATCATCTAAGCTCTCAGCGAGTCATAATCACCAATCACAACTCATAATAACCAATACAGTAGTAATGAAAAACTTTGACATGTTGCGAAAATTACCAAGATGTGACACAGAGACACGAAGTGAACAAATGCTGTTGGAAAAAAGGTGCTAGGAGACTTGCTCGCCACAGAGTTGTCACAAACCTCCAATTTGTAAAAAGGACATGTGGAGCACAATACCGTGGCACATGATGAAATGAAGTGTGCCTGTAAATTTTTAATCTTAATGGATAAACCCTGGGATCCAACCAGTGATAGAAAAGCTGCAGCATTTACTGGCTCTACTCCATCCCCCATAACTAGCAGGTGGAAGCTTGAGCCCAGCTCAGCCCTGTGCCGACCAGCCTCTGAGCCACCCCGGCGCCCTCGTTTACCAGGCACGACTGAAACAAAACAGGGGGAGGAAGTGGGCTGCTTTCATGGGCTACCTGCCTCATGCATGCCCTGTCCCCTATTTGCTGAAAATATCCTCTCTCTAAAAAAAAAAAAAAAAAAATGACAGAAATTTTTGGTGGCTGGATCACCGTAAGATTCCTGGTAAAGCACGTTCCTCAAAAGCATACCTTGGAAAACTCTCACAGGAGTTAAAAATACTTTCCCTTTTTTCTTTTGTTCTCTTCTCTTCATCCTTCCTGCAAAGCACCCTATGGAGGCCTTTACTCCTCAGGCCTCTAATCTGAGTAGTGGCACATGTCAAGTCCAAAGTCTCTGGACAGAAAGATTAGACCAAAAAAAATAGGGCTATAAATTTCATGGGATCGGACACTCCCAATAAACACTAGCTACGGGGCTTGGCATGAGGACCTTCACCATCTGGTTATAGAGACCTCAGTTTCCTCTGTATGAAGGGAGAAAATTGTCCTACATAGTTTCAAACGACCCTGGCAACATGAAAATCCCATGACTTTGATTCTCTATTCACAAGAGAGGAGGAGGGTATGGATCCTGTAATGATCTCACATTTTAGGTTAATTTTAGAAAGAACCAAAAGAAGAAGCCTCACTGAAAAGATGGAGACATTCCCAAAGGAGAGTAGAGGGGTTTTGTGGTAGATTCCTATGGCAAATGTTACAGTATTAAATGAGCCTATGTGGAAATAGAGAAGTAAGACTTGCAACTGCAAGAGACCAAGCTTTTCCCAGGCAGTGGGTCCCACCGCGCAAGCTGAGACCTTGGTGTCTCTCCCTCTATCTGGCCCCCTTTCTGCACTTCACAAATCCACCACTTCTGAGTCCAAAGCCCTATTACAATTAGTGGAAGATCTCTGTCTCTCTCTTTGTCTCTCTCTCACTCTCAGATTATACAAACTCTTACTTCACATGGAAGATACCTCTTATATTCTCTCATTATATTAGGCGATGTGCCAGGCTCCCAGGAGGAAAAAGATGGCTTGCCAAAATTACAATAATTCAAGGCGGCTTAATAAAGACAGATAATAAAGAATAGCGATGTAGCCTGAGATTGGTAACAACAGAGCTTAAATCTATGTTCAAAAGGAAGCAGACAGGGAGAAAGCAATTGCCACACCTGAAAGAAGAGTCGTGCACCCTCCCCAAACATCACTGGAAGAGGCTGCCAGCCTGAAGCAACCCCATAGACAGGGAGCCAAGGGAATGAATACCCTTGAAGCCAATACAAGGCATATGGAAAACATTTCAATCCTTGCTAGTTGAAGTACTTCCTGAAATAATTCTCACAATGTCCCCAATTTGGTAAAAGTGCATGCTTACTGAGGAAAAAGCCAGAGGTAGAAAATTTTTGCGCCAATGCACTCTCTTAAGCAATGCAGAATTTTTGGTGTGGGATAGATGTAAGTATGCAAATCTAAAATGAGTCCTTACTCCCAGAATAAGCTCCTCTACCTGAAAGAAAAAGGTTGTCAAAAAAAAAAAAAAAAGTTCTAAAATTTTGCTACTTGTTATTCTTTGTAATTAAATACCGGAGAGACTGGGTTTTCTTTGCATACACTCAATGTGAATGCAGGGAACCAAATGACCACACTCCTAGATTTAACACAGGGGGAAGTCACTCTCAAGCCCTACCTTAAATGCACAGCATTTGTTTCAGGCTATCAGGATCACACTTCTACAGTCTTAACCATAGAGCTATTTAAATCTGAGAATCTTATACTGTGTCCTGCTTTATCCCGTGTCCCCTCCAAGTTGGATCTATTTTAATTACATTCCAACGCCCCAAACCATAAACCAAATTCTCTGCAATGCCTCATCTAGGGTAGCCCATGTATTGCAAAGGATTTCCACTTTTCGCTCCCATGCTCACAAGAGATGTGACTAATCAACCGTTTCTCGTTCCTGGAAATTGTGAAATATGGTAGTGTCTCTGTCAACAAATTCTCTGTTAACCAAAGGAATTAGCTTCTGCATCCCTCCTCTTTTAGTCCCTCCAGGCCTTTTAAAATGGTGTTAATATATACTCCGAAAGCCTTGTTAGAGACTATTGAGGTAAGTCATTACCACATAATAATGGCTCACTCCCCTGCAATTAACCTTCTGCTGGCGTTGCTTATAAATCATGCTCCTCTTTCTTATCTGCTCCTGTTGATCTTCTAACATCCCTGGTGTTAAGGTGTAATCATAACTAATTAACATTTACCCTTCACAGAGGCCATGCTATAAATAATCTGGTCAACAGTTTGTTTTCTTATGAGTTTGTCATTTACAACCTAAACCGGAATGCTTCCACTTCTGAATGAAACCGGAATTTAACTGAGTCAGGGAGAACATCAATTAGGGGGATATAGCATTCCCTCTCTGTCTTACACTTTAAGATAAATCAAATGAAATCCTGGAATACCAAAGTTGGGAGGGAAAAAAAACTTTCTTGATGCTGAAGACAGGCAATTTTTAAGATAATGCAAGACACTTAAAGAACTTGTCATATCCAATAAGTAATATAAACGAAGATTAGCTTCAAGGGAATGTAGATAATTATAGGATAGTTTACTTTATGGTTCATTCATTTGTTCAACAGATATTAAGCATTACCAAGCCAAACATTTGCCAGTTGTTGGCAACTGGCATTGTTCACAGGCTCTTCCCAAACTTTAGAAGTTGCCTGGAGGGCAGCTACCAGGTCATTCCACCTACTATCCCCTGGGTCAGTCCGAAACAGGTGGGATTAAGGTGGATGGATCATAGATCTGGCCCAATTTGCCCTTTCCTACAATCTTTCAGCATTTTTATTGTAAATATTGATTTACAAAAATGCATAAGAATAATACTACCTAATCCAAACCCTTTGATCTGAGTGATTATAAAGAACATGTATAAATAGACAAAAATAAACATTCCAACTGAAGTCCTATCTGTTCATCTGATTAAAATCCTGTATTTTTAAAAAGACAGATGTTTTGGTCAAATAGTTGACTTTTTCTATCCTGTGTATGGGGCTAAATCAGCTTCTCTAATACCAAAGTTTCCTTTCACACCAACTTTATTCACTGTCCTGTTGCCCAGAGTCCTTGTGTCTAATGATACCAGTCTGATAATACACTGAAATCTTGCCAACAAGAAAGAATGCTCATGGAATACAATGATTAGTGACTAAACCATTTTAAAATGCTATTGGTTTGGGGCGCCTGAGTGGCTCCGTCGTTAGGCATCTGCCTTCAGCTCAGGTCATGATCCCAGGGTGCTGGAATCAAGCCCCGCATCGGGCTCCCTGCTTGGCAGGAAGCCTGCTTCTCCCTCTCCCACTCCCCCTGCTTGTGTTCCGTCTCTCGCTGTGTCTCTCTCTGCCAAATAAATAAATGAAATCTTTTTTTAAAAAAATGCTATTGGTTTGCTTTCTTTCTAGAGGATATATGCACAGGAACAATAATAAAAGTTCAAAGAAGCCAAAATCTTTCTTGCCCTTTTCACCGCAAAAATTACCTCCTCCTTTATAAACAAGTGGTTATTTACAAAGCTGGTTAAAAAGTGGTTTAAATTGAGGATTCATTTAGAATTTCTCGGCCATATATTTTTGTTTTTCCCTTATTATTTAAGAATTATTTTATTGCATGTATCATTCCAAGTACTTAAACATTGTTGTGATTTTTTAAAATGTAGTTAGAAACACAAGATACTGGTTTTGAAAACGGTCATTGAAACCAAATTTATCTCAGGAAGAGAAGGAAACCAAGGATGCAGCTTAAGCAAAAAGATTTTCTAGTACTGTACTTGTTGACTCAGAGGTGACTGATCATTAGGAGAATCAACACACCCACCCTTTTCTACTATTCAAAATACTTTCTTTACACAGAAGCAGGCAGAATCTTACCTTATAGGGGACGATCACAGGCTACTCTATCACTGCTCTTTTATTCCAACTAAAAAATCATACCTT